GTGTCCTCATGCATGTGCTTGTGGACACACACACACCATGGTGTACATGTGGGGATCCAAGAACAACTTTGGGGAATTGCTTCTTGCCCCTCACCATGAGGATTCTGGGCATTGAAGTCAGGTTGGCCAGCAAGTGCCTTCACCTGCTAAGCCAACCTGCCAGCGCAAAACATACAGATTTTTGTACATTTCCTCTATTTCATGGTTTGTGGACTTGCTTAGCATTTTACCCAGCCACTTTTGACTTTGGAGAGCCATTATATAAGTCTAGGTAACAGGGATAAAATGACCCACATGAGAAATGCTGTAGAAAGCTTGGCACATCCTGTCTGTGTGTGGATGCCCAAAACAGACCAGTCACCTCGATGTCTCTAGACTCATTGCACACTCTGAGTTCTGGCTGGGCATGACTCTTTGAAAAGATGCCTCCTCACATCTCCGTATACTTCCTGGCCCTCATTTAACCTGGCTTCCACTTCCGTGGACTTGTGTCTTCCATTCTTCTAGGGGCCTCCCTTTTCTGATGCCCTCAGGAGGACACTCACTAGTTAGTTGGCTTCACTGGGCTGGTACCTTTCCTCCAGAACCACAGCTCTGTCCCTTTGATACTTTCTGGTGTTGGCTGCTGTGTTGAGTTGTGTAGGCTCAGAGTAGATGTGATGATGCAGTTCAGATGTGATGTTCTCCCTTTGTTTAGATCTGAGAGGTGGGTAGGAATGAAAGTGTGGGTTTCCTTGTTTGGTTCTATTTGTCTCCTCTAATACCTCTTTTGGTCCTCACTAGCTTCCATCTTCCTCACCATTGGAAGTTCCCACAGAAACAACCGAGACCAACCCAGAAGAGGAAATCTCGGAAGCCATAGTTGACAAGTCAGAATCTATCATTGAAAAGGAGCCAGAAGTAGACCGTTCCCAGGATTCAAACTCAGAGATGCAACAGATCCTTGCACGCGTTCGCCAGAACTTCGGCAAAATCAATGTGGGGCCTCAGTTTTCTGCGGATGACCTGGTTCCTGTGGAGCTGTCGGACATGGAGGAAGACCTGGAAAGCCTTTCAGCAGAGGAGGAGGAGCAGGAACAGGAGCAGCCAGGAGAGGAGGCTGAGGAGGCGCCTTCCCAGGACTCTCAGGAAGAACCTGTGGGAAAGGACACCAAAGCTGTGATTAGAGCCTTAGATGAAAAGATCGCCAAGTACCAGAAGTTCCTCAATAAAGCCAAAGCTAAGAAGTTCTCAGCCGTCAGGTCAGATCATCATCTTCTTTCTTTCTTCCTCTTCTTCTCCCTTCCTTCCTTCCTCTTTTCTCTTTCTTCCTCCTCTTCCTTCTTTCTTCTTCCTAGTTAGCTTATTTGTTCCTTCCTCACTTGTCGTGAACATTGACTTTGGAACTAGAGTTTTAAGGTACTTAGGGTAGAATCTAGGGCCTGTGTCTGCCAGGCAAGTGCTCTACCACTTAGCTGTAATTCTAATCTGAATAGTATTTTTCTAGGAGCTAGGAGTGGTTGGTTTAGAAAGCAAACAGAAAAAAGCAAGCTGTAATTTGTCATCTTTGGCCACCTAAACTACAAGAACCTTGGTTATCTAATATTTTAACTCAGGAGCTATACGAACTGCTGGGCACTGGCTCTATCAACCAGCGATGACAAACATGGTGGAATTTCTTTTTAAGAGTTGGCACCTTGGCCAGGCGTTGGTAGCGCATGCCTTTAATCCCAGCACTCGGGAGGCAGAGGCAGGCGGATCTCTGTGAGTTCGAGGCCAGCCTGGACTACCAAGTGAGTTCCAGGACAGCCTCCAAAGCCACAGAGAAACCCTGTCTCGAAAAAAACCAAAAAAAAAAAGAGTTGGCACCTTGCTGGGCGGTGGTGGCGCACGCCTTTAATCCCAGCACTTGGGAGGCAGAGGCAGGTGGATCTCTGAGGTCAAGACCAGCCTGGTCTTCAACAGCTAGTTCCCAGGACAGCCTCCAAAACAATACAGAGAAACCCTGTCTCGAAAAACCAAAAAAAAAAAAAAGAAAAAAAAGAAAAAAAAAAAGACTTGGTACCTCTCCAGGTTGGTTTGTTTAGAACAGCTAAAAGGGAGTGATGGGCTGCTTTGTGACTTTGCTTTTATTTTTCAGAATATCCAAGGACTTAAGTGAAAAGGTTTTTGCAAAATATGAAGAAGAGAAGAAAACATCTGCAAAAATCAGTGATGCAGGTGAGGTCGATTTTGAACCATTTAGACATGTTTTTTAACTTTAAGATAATTTCTTCCATCCAGGCAGATACTAGGCGTCTGGTTTCATATTCTACTTACCATGTGAATTGGACTCTCCACTTGAAATTCTGTACATTTGTTAAGATCAAAGTTGTTAGCTTGGGAATACTGCTTTTCAAAAGTGCATATTACAGGCAGTGGTGGTACATACCTTTAATCCCAGCACTCAGAAGACAGAAGCAGGCAGGTCTTCAAGACTAGCCTGGTGTACAAAGTGAGTTCTAAGGCACCCAGAGATGTTACACAGAAAAATCCTGTCTCAAAAAAAGTGAGGGGGGGGAGGGAGGGAGGTAGATAGAGAGAGAGGTGGTGGTGCATGAATTTAATCCCAGCACCAGAGGCAAGCAGATCTCTGAGTTAGAGGCCAGCCTGGTTTATAGAGCACGTTGTTCCAGGACAGCTATGGTTACACAAAGAAACCCTATCTCAAAAAAGTGTATATTAATAACTTCACAGTGGAAGAGAAGAGTCTGCAGACAAACTTGGGCAGGAGGTCTTAGTTACCATTGCTATAATAAAGCACGTGACCAAAGCAACTAGCAGAAGAAAGTACTTAGTTGGGGCCTACAGTTCCAGAGGGATAGGAATCCATCATGGAAGGGAGCATGGCACTTACTGGAGTAACAGCTGAGAACTCACATCCCAGTCCACAGTCAGGAACCAGATAGCATGTTGAGGATGGCTGGAGACTTCTTAGCCTTAGAGCCCACCTCTGTGACACACGTCACCATTTTCAAGCTGTTCCACCAATGGGGACCAAGGATTCAAACATTATGAGCCTATGGGAGCCGTTCTCATTCAAGCCATCCCAGATGTTTCATAAACTTATTGATAGTTTTTGAGTGATGCAAGTCAGACCCCACTGAGCTCCTGGCCTCCTGCTGTAACTTTGCTTCTCTCTGCCTCCTTACACAGGGCTTGTTCCCACTGTAGTCTTGCACAGGTTTTGAGGTGTGGTCTCTATGTTTGTTTGTTTTTGTTTTTCGAGACAGGGTTTTGTAACAATCTTTCTTCCCACCAGCCTGGTCCCAGTGCCACATCAACCTCAAATAACACACAGAGACTCTGTTAGTTACAATGCTGTCGGCCAGTGTCCAAGGCTTCTCATTGGCTAGTTCTGTCTTAAGTATTAATATTTCTATAAGGACTTAATCTTTCTGAGGTTGGCATCCTGATATGTCTTCTTCCCCGGGATCACATGGCGACTCTCCACTCTTGACTACATTTCCCAGAATTCTCCACTCCTAGTCCCACCTATCTTGCTTCCCTGTTGGCCAACAGTGCTTTATTCATTAACAAGTAAGAGAGACACATACACAGAACAACTCAGGGTTTCTCTGTGGCTTTGGAGGCTGTTCTGGAACTAGCTCTTGTAGACCAGGCTGGTCTCGAACTCACAGAGATCCGCCTGCCTCTGCATCCCTGACTGCTGGGATTAAAGGCGTGCACCACGACCGCCAGGCTGCAGTCTCTATTTTAAATCTCCTCTGTGTTTTACATATCATTTGTATCCAGCACCCACCAAAAAGGGAAGGAAGCGGAATGCACAGATGGAAGACGGACCCTCAAATAAAACCCAGAGGATGCTGACGTGTAAGGAAGTAAGTATCCTGCTTCTTTTAGTGAGGCAGGGGTGTTGTGGCACATTCCCACATGCCCACCATGCCTTTAGTCCAGCACTGGGAGGCAAAGGTAGGCGCAGCTCTGAGTGTGAGGTCAGCCTGATCTACACAGTGAGTCTTGGGACAACCAGAGCTGCATAGTGAAACCCTGTCACGGGGAAGAAACAACACAAAAATAGTAGAAGCTCGCTTTGAGGTTTGTTTTCTACATTTATTTCGTGTACATGCATGCGTGCAGGCCTCTCATGACGTGAGCACCTGCAGATGAGAGGACAAGGTGTCAGCAGGTTCTCTCCATCACATGGTCCTGAGGATGGAGCTGAGGCCGCCCCTGAGCCACCCCTTTGGCTCTTTAATTTTAATCTTTCCTTTGAGACTGGGTTTGCAGTCCCTGATTTTCCTCACACTCGGGAAGTCCCCTTATCTTTGTCTCAAGTGCTGATATTACAGTTGTAAGTTAGCATACCCAATGGGTCCAGTTCCCAAGACCCATTCTTTCTGAAACAAGAGTTTAGAGCTGAGAGTCCTAGGAACCCCACTTTTTAGTGACCTGATGTAAATTAATTTGGGTCAAGAAATGGCCCTCTACATAAAGGTCCTTGAGTCTGAGTCTTGGTTTCAGGAATTCTATTACCATCTTCAAAGCTGTGTCCTGTTGACCAGGAGAATTGGGTGGTCTTGTCTGGTTCCAGGGAGGTGACATACAAAGAGTACAGCTGATGAGGCAGGCAGATAACTGCCCCCTGGCAAGGACAGCTCTGCAGAACTGAAACAGACCCCCTGGGGAGAGGGGTGAGGGCTGGGCCCAGTGAGAGTCTGCTGCTGGTCATCAGGTCTGAGGTGGATCCGCCCAGCCTTGCCTCCATTGCTGTGGTAGCTGCATAGGCATGGAGGGGAGGGCTGGGAAATGGCCTCCTGATTCGTGGCCGTCAGTTCTTGACTGGCTTTCTTGTCTGTTGTGTTTTACAGCGGAGGAGAGCTGCACGGCAGCAACAACCCAGAAAAGTTGGTGTGCGCTACTATGAAACGCACAATGTGAAAAACAGAAACAGGAACAAAAAGAAGACAAACGACTCAGAGGGACAGAAGCACAAACACAAGAAATTCAGACAGAAGCAGTAACATCTAGAAAGTTGTTTATTAAATTATACAAAAATTATGCATTCGGAATTGTGCTCATTTTTTCATGCCCAGTTGGCATCTGTAAGACACAACACGCTTAGGAAGCTTAGCAGTTGAGCTGTACCCCAGTGCTAATGACAGCAGTAAATCCCCAGCCCCAGAGAGTTCTTCAAACACTTGACCTGCCCCTTGTGTCTACTACAGATGTGTGTGTTTCTTACTCTACTGAGCAGCGCTGAGGATCATTGGAGCCTAAAAGCTGTAAAGCACAAGTACTTGATGGTGAGGCTGGAGGAATGAGGAGTGCTCCAGCAGCTGTATGGAGTCTGCTTGGGTTTGTTAGGGCATAGATGCTTTTCCGTGCAGGTTGCTTTAGTGGAGACCTACTTCCTGAGGATACTGAGTGAGAGTCAAGGACGTGACCTGTAGTGTAAGGTCAGAGTGTTACGGTATATTCAACTCAGAACAGCTCTTGGGGTCATAAGCCTTGCAGTAAGCCTTGACTGGGATGGAGGTCAAAGCCGCCAAGAAGTGAGTCCTTTCTGACACTCCTTCAGGGGTGCTGTGTACCTGAAGCATTCCCAGCAACTAGAAGGAAATCCACCAACTGAAGGAAATGACACTTGACTAATATGGGTGTCACCAAGCTCACTGTCCTCTCCTGCCCCAGGCTTCCCTGGATGGAAATTTGTCTGTAATTTAAGTCTTCTGGGTCTACAAACTCTTTAGGCCATAACCTGACTAGAGCTGTGAGATGTGGCTGCTTCCTTAGCTGTTCGTTAATGGCTGGTTAGGGAGTGTGGAGTCAGGCTTTGATGTCCTTCCTGCAGAAGGCGAATAATGGGGAGGGCCTGGGATGCAGACAGCTCTCCAGAGACTGGGACTTCTCTCAGTGAACAGGGGTTTGTCTTTACTGTTGTTTCCTCATGGAGGCAGGCGGACTGAGGACAAGGTCCTGCTGACTTGGTGGGTGGGAATGAGATTTTATTATCCAAACTCGGAAATGAGTTGCTAAGAGTTACACTGGAGAGGTGACGGGGTGGGAGGACGGGGCCAGAGAAACCCAGGGTGCAAGGTGAGCTGTGAGCCGGATCTGCTGCAAAAGCAGCTTCTTTGGGAAACGCTTGCTTCCTGAGTTGTTGAGATGACAAATCCCCAGGCCAGTCTGTAAGCTGCACATGGATATGAGGTTACACCGCCTTCCGTAGCCCCACCAGGAGCCTGGCTGCCGGGCACTGGGTGTTATGTGGCACTGGGCAACAGTCGTAACAATTACATGAGTGGTGATCAGGGGAGGGGATGGCTTGCTTGTTCACTCAGGAAACTGGCTTTTTATTACAATGGGCTTATGTTGGGGCACAGTGCCTGCTGAGACCCAGATGGAAATTATCACTTCTTTGGTGCGATAATGCCTTCCAGTTGGGCCTGAAAAACAAAAACAAAACTCAATTAGCATTTGCATCTTGCACCCTAACAACGCACAGCTGAGGCTGACACTCTGAGCACACCCCTTTCTGACTCAGCTCCACATTTTCTAGATTAGCTGGATTCAAGCTTGGCATGGTTTTGTTACATGAGCAGAAACCAGAGCTGCCCTGGTTTCCATACAATAATAGCTCGGTGTATAATAGCACAGGAAGGGAAATGGAATAAAAGTTGTTGAAATAGTGGTTTCCTGTCACTCCTACTTTAAGCCTGCATATGTCCACTAAGTTAAACATTGGGCTCTGGCTTAGTACCGTGGAGCTCTGGTTGGACCAGAGATCTGGGAAGTGGCAAATTATCAGCCACTGAGACAACTTGACACTCAATTAGAAGAAATTGCTACCAGTGAGTAGGGAAAGCATAAGACACTAGGGGGCTATTTACTCAGTTCCTCCAGCAGTCAGCACAGTGGTTTACTGTGCTGATAGTGAACAGACCCTTAAGAAGGTCTGTCCTGGGGACTGAAAACACTGCTTTCTTTGTAGTGAAGCTTCGAGTCAATAAAAAGCTTTCTTGTAAAGAATCCTTCGCCCTAGGGATTTCAAGGCTGCTTTTGGATGTTAGAAGGATGCTAAGGTCTTGTTGGAACTAAGGAACCAGCTCTGGAATCTGCTGAGTCAACATTTACATCTGGCTGGGGAAGTCTCCAGCTTTTCTTCTAATAGACTCTTGAGCAACTAGCAAAATCTCATCCGCTGAAGGCTCATACAAAGCCTTCCTTTTCTCAAGGGCCTTTTGGCTTTAAGGAACGGAAGGAAGTAAGAGAGCTGCTTATAGGCACCATATTTAGAAGAGTGATGCTTAAGCCTCACAAATCCCAGAACCTTTCAAGGCCTTGTTAAGCTGTGCTGCTTGTTAAGCTGTGCTGCTGCCTAACAGAAGCTATAAGGCTTCTGTTAGGCACAACCAGGGGAGGTCAACAATTGTTTCTAGAAGTTGCCCTGTGACAAGGGTGGTGCTTCTCTAGAGCTCAGCCTTTTCGGTCTGTGGCCTGGCCCCTCCCACCCAGCCTTCTCTCCCAGCGCCTCAGATGGGCTGAGGGGAACCACCCCTACCCAAATATCCTTTATTTCAAGAGCTCCCTCTGCTTTTGCCACAGTGCATCAAGATGCCAGGGTCCCGAGTGGTGCACGCCGTTAATCCCAGCACTCGGGAGGTAGAGACAGGCCGATCTCTGTGAGTTCAAGGCCATCCTGATCTACAAGCACTAGTTCCAGGACAGCTTCCAAAACAATTCAGAGAAACTCAAAAACTCTCAAAAAAAAAAAAAAAAACGAGAGAGAGAGAGAGAGAGAGAGAGAGAGAGAGAGAGAGAGAGAGAGAGAGAGAGAGAGAGAGAGGGAGAGAGAAGCTGTTGAATCCTCTCTGATTATGAGCATCTTTCTCCCAGGAGGGAAACATTGGTAGGCATGATGGCTCTACAGTAGAGGAGTAGGCTGGGGTATTGATTAGTGCTAAGAATAGACTTCCTTCACAGCTAAATAAAAGGAATAAAGAACCTGGAAAAGGGGCTGGAGGGATGGCTCAGAGGTTAAGAGCACTGACTACTCTTCCAGAGGTCCTGAGTTCAATTCCCAACAACCATATGGTGACTCACAACCATCTGTAATAAGATCTGGTGCCCCCTTCTGGCACCTGCATAGAACACTATATATATAAAATGAATAAATCTTTAAAAAAAAAAAAACCTGAAAAAGGAGCCCCAGCCCACCCCACCAGCTCCTGTACTCCTCGGCAGTACACATGGGCCAGCATTTAAGAGCCATGAGCAGACACCTGTAATCCCAGAGTGAGTTCAAGGCTAGTCTGGAAAATGCAGGTCCTGTTTCCAACTGAAAGGACAGCTGGAAACTGGATCGGAATCATTTCCCAGTATCCTCAAAGTGGCTTACAACCTCCCATAACCCCAACTCCAGGGGAGCCAACAGGCACACATGTACATGTATGTGCATGCAGGCAAAACATACATACACATAAAGAAAAAGCTTTTTAAAAACTCTTTACAGCAAGGGCTGTTACACCGAGAAACCCTGTCCTGAAGAACTGAAACCAAAAACAACTCTTTAAAAGAAAATTAAACGGAGGGCTGGCCATGGTGGTACATGCCTATAATCCCAGCAGTACAGAGGCTAGGAAGGAAGAGTGTGAGTTTGAGGCTAGCCTGGGCTACATGAGACCCTGTCTCAAAAATCCAGACCCCCCCCAAAAAAAAAGTAAAAAGGAGGGCTGAAGATAGAGTTTAGGGTATAATTCCTGCCTAGTGTTCTTCACAACCCTGAATCTCCACTTCTCCAGGAAATGAAGGAGCGAGCGGCTCTTTTACCTTCAGCTGCTGATTGGTCCGTTTCAGGAACTGGATCTCCTCATTGTGCTTCTTCTCCTCCACCTGTCGCCGCTCGCTCTCCCGCTTCTCCGTGGCCTCGCACTTTGCCTTCTGTTCATTCACTTGCCTCTCCAAATCTCTCTTCTCTGTCTCCAAGTCTGCAATCTGCAGATAGAATGGCCATCATCCTGGGACAGCCTCCAGAGGATGAGTGCTGTGAAAGCTGGGTGGGGACCCTTAGGACACCACCGTCCAGCTAAGACAATACCAGGGTTTGTACTGCCACCCAGTGGGAAGTCCGTGATTGACACGGCGTGTCCTCAGACAAGACTACCTCCTCACCGAGGCCGTGCTCTATGAGTGTGAAGGACACCCTCAGGACCAGAATTCAGGGCTGCAATGACACCTGCATGCCCCAAGATTAACAGAAGAGTCTGGGAGCCATGCGGACATGGTGAAGCCCACTCACTTTCCTCTCCATGTCTGACTTCCCCTGTTCGGCCTGCAGTGCCTTCCTCATGCCAAACGCCACACTGCTCTCATACAGAGTCTGGTAGGCGGCGATGGTCATTCGGATCTCGTCCCGGACTCGCAGCAGCAGCAGCCCCCTCTCTGCACAGTTGATGGTGACCTCCCGGATCAGCTCATCTTCCAGTGGGCATACAGGGAAATAAAAGACAGTGGTGAGGGGACACGCACTTTGTCAATGGCAAGTCACGCTTCCTCCTGAGGATGACGTAGGATGTGTTCTCAGAGGCATGGATCTGGGGAGATGTCAGCTAGCAACATTCAGAGTCCCGGCACCCACGTAAACAGTCAGACAAGAGTGGAACACATGTAATTCTAGCCTCGGGAAAGTGGCGACAGAAAAATCCCCTGGAGCCTGCTGGCCACTGAGTCGCTAAATCAAAGAGCTCCAGGTTCAGTGAGAGACCTTGTCTCAAAAAATAAGCTAGAGCGGCTGGAGCGATGACCTAGCAGTTAATAATATCTTGACTGCTTTTCCAGAAAATACATGTTTGGCAGCTAACGACCATCTTAACTCCAGTTCCAGGGTATCCAATGCTCTCTTCTGGCCTCCTTGGGCACTGCATAGATGTGCACAGACATACATGCAGGCAAAACACCCACACACATAAAGTTTTTCAAAAGATCTCTAAAAAGAAGTGGAGAATGATAGAAGACATTAGACACTGACTTCTGGTCTTCACACATGTGCACACACATTCACACACAGCACACACAAAAACCAAAAGTATGGTCTATAATAAGGCACTATGAGGGGGCTGGAGAGATGGCTCAGTAGTTAAGAGCACTGGCTGTTCCTCCAGAGGTCCTGAGTTCAATTCCCAGCAACCACATGGTGGCTCACAACCATCTGTAATGAGATCTGGTCCCCTCTTCTGGCGTACAACCATTAATCCCAGCACTCAGGAGGCAGAGACAAGTGGATCTCTGAGTTCAAGGCAAGTCTGATCTACAGAGAAAGTTCCAGGACAGCCAGGGCTTCACAGAGAAACTCTGCCTCTATAAACAAACAAACAAACAAATCAATGGATTAAGCACAGCAAGTTCTAGAACTTTCTTCTCTCCCTCTGTAAGTACCCAAATTGGAGGGCAAACCATACTCAGACTAAACAGGCTAAGGTCCCCTTGCTGAATCTGGCGTTGCCCGAGAGTTTGGAGGGAGGTTTGCAGTTGAGAGCCTATAGTGCCAGGGTGACTGAGCAGAGAGCAGCAGCTGACATCAGCTCTCAGTGGACACATCTTAAATTCTGTGTCTGAAGTATTTTTCTGGAATGTGGGTAGAGTGTGGATGGGTAGGCATAAAGGTAGATATTAATTTTGAGTAAAATATTAACACATTGGGCTGGAGAGTTAGCTCAGTGGTAAAGAGCACTTGCTGCTTTTTCTAAGGACCAGAGTTCGGTTCCTGATACCCATGCCAGGTGGCTCACAAGTGCCTGTAACTCCAGCCCTCTTCTGTCCCCCATGGGCATCTGTACCCACACAGCACACAAACTTACACTCACACACACAAAATAAAATTAAATAAAGAGTGTGTGTAAAATTATTTTTATGGGGCTGGAGAGATGGCTCAGCAGTTAAGAGCATGGGCTGCTCTTTCAGAGGACCTGGGTTCAGTTCCCAGCACCCACATGGCAGTTCCAGGGCTTCCGACTCCCTCATACAGACATCCATGCAGGAAAAACACCAAAGAACATTAAATAAATTATGTAGAAAAGTATTCTATTAGTTAGGCAGTGGTGGTGTATGCCTTTAAACCCAGCACTTTGGAGGCAGGGGTAGGTAGATATAAGAGTTCAAAGCCACCCTGGTCTACAGATTGAGTTCCAGAACAGCCAGGGCTACATAGAGCAACCATGTCTCAAAAAAACCAAAAATTATCTTTATTTTTGACAGTTATGAAATATTATAACATTTCCCTCTTCCCTTTCCTCCATTCTTCTCCAATGTATGCCTCCCCCTACTCTCTCAAATTCATACTATTTTTCATCTTGTTACATATATGTGTGTATATGTTTTTTTCTTTTTTCTTGTCTTTGTTTTGTTTTTTGTTTTTCAAGATAGGGTTTCTCTATGTGGCCCTAGTTGTCCCAGAACTTGCTCCATAGACCAGGATGACCTCGAACTCAGAACTAAGAGATCTGCCTGCCTCTGCCTCCCGAGTGCTGGGATTAAAGGCGTGCGCCACCAACGCCCGGCTAATATTCTGTTTTTAAATTAATTTATTTATTTTAATTTTGTGTTTGTGCCCGACATGTGTGCTCTATATATGTGCAGTGCCCACGGAGGCCACAAGAGGGCACTAGATCCTCAGGAGCTAGTGTTACAGACGTTTTGAGTGTGCAGAGGCCAGAGGTCAATACACAGCATCTTCTTCAATCCCTTTATTCATTTTCTTTAAATAATCTATTTATTTTTATTTTATGTAAATTAAGTGTTTTGCCTGCATCTGAGGGAGTCAGATCCCCTGGACCAGGAGTTATAGACAGTTGTGAGCTGTCATATGGTTGCTGGGAATTGAACCCAGGTCCTCTGGAAGTGCTCTTAACACTTGAGTTATCTCTCTACTCCCACTGCTAATATTCTTAAATATATAAATACAACCTGTTTACTTCATATAATGTTTAGTTATGTGTATATGTTTCCAGGGCTGATCATTCGGTATTGAAAAATAAATTTTAAAAAATGTAAAGCCAAGAGTAGGGATGCATGCCTTTAACTCTAATACTAAGGAGGCAGAGGCAGGCAGATCTTGAATTTAGGCCAGCCTGGGCTAGACACTGAGATCCATTTAAAAAAAATAGCACAGGGACATTATGGAAATCTTTGGAAAACAACAACAACAAAGGCTCAAAAAGTGTTTCTCCTTCCTTCCTTCCTTCCTTCCTTCCTCCCTTCTTCCTTCTGAGTGCCTGTATTAAAGTCATGTGCCCCTACACCTGGAAGTTCTTACCTTATTCCAAATACCTATTAAAGGGGCCGGTGAGACGGTTCAGTGGGTATAGGCACTTGGCCCCAAGCCTATGACCTGAGCCAATCACCAGAGCCCACGTGGTGGAAGGAGAGAATCATTCTTGCAAGTTGTCCTCTGACTTCCACACTTGTGCCATGGCACATGTGTGCCCCCAGAAAAACATGCATGCACACATATGTGCATCCACACCTACACCCACACACAAAATAACTGTAAACCTACATGAAAATAAAACAAACATCTGTGAGGGATAAGGCACCGAGGGACTATGTCTGGCACCTGGATGTCTGGCTGAGGTAGAGAATGGGGGAGGGGTGGGGATTGTTCTCAGCAGCTATGGGGAGATTAGGAAAAAGAAGAGATGATTCCTAAAAGGGGGGTAGTTTAGGGGTAACCAGGGTTTGGTTTTGTGCTAGAAGGAGGCTGACATTGTACAGTGCTCTGCCAAGCCTACTCACCGAAGCACTGCGAGTAGAGCTCCCTGCGCACAGGGCAGATACCTGTCTCCCTGGCCTGTCTCTGCTGCAGCTTCAGGTCCAGCTGCTCCTGCAGATGCACGACGTCCATTCTGGTGCTGGGTGTGCTGGACACCTGCTGGATCCATAGTTGTGTGTCTTCCACCCACTCCCTATGACACGGACACAAACCAGTGTGAGCCCAGGGCCCTCGGAACTCCGCCTGAGCAGGACCGAGAGGCAGCATAGGCATCGTGCCACCAGCATCGACTTCTTTCACAAGCCACATCCACCATGCAGCCTTCAGAGGACACCTGCCTCAGGGCTGGGTAGATGGACAGTCTCTACTGTCCACGGGACCACAACCCTCTGTTCCGGGTCATATCTGTCTAGTCCTGCGTCTTGATTGGAATAGAAGATGCAGTGGGAATTCCCCACACTGGCTTACAGTGGAGACATAGAACATCATAAACCTCATGCAAGCCACTAGGAAGCCTTTGTGTACGTTGGGAGTTCAGAGGTTCTTGAAGGGCTGCGTTTGCAATAGCTGCCCATTATGAATTTTGTGCTGGAGGCACAGGCAATTCCTGCAGGGACGAACTTGCAGGCAGCGTGGCAAGGGAGGGAGAATGCCTATACTGGTGGGAGGGAATCCATTAACAAATGACACCTCCCTTTTGATTTCCATCCTTGGAGAAGATCACAGGTGCTCTGTGGTTCCTGGGTTCTGAGAAAAGCTTTATTGCCTTGGGTATAAAAATGTCCATTAGGTGGAGGTTTTTGAGAATTCTAGCTAGGCTGCATAGCTCAGGCTGGCCTCAAACTCTTAACCTCCTGCCTCTGTCTCCTGAGTTTCTGGGATTAAAGGTGAGACTCACCAGGCCTTGCCTTATTGGACATCTGTGGGTTTTTTGAGACACAACTTTGCCATATAGTGCTAGCTGGCCTGGCAGTCCCTAAGTAGTCCAGGCTGACCTCCTGTGTCTAGCAGAGTGCTGGGATTAAGCACATGCCACCACACCAGCTCTCTATAGGGAATCTTGATGGAGGGACCAAGGAAGCCGAACACTAGGAATGGAGTTTAGGAGGAACAGGGCTGGGATAGAGACCCGTGTCCGAAAGCTGACTGCATAGTGACATTTAAAGTGTGAGACTGCTCAAAACATGGAGGTATGGGATAGATTTACAGGTTTCCTGTCTGCATTCAGACTCCATGAAATCCAGAAAGCTGAGAGAAAACCCAAGGCAGAACACAGGTAAGCTTCCTGGCCCCAAAGAGGTGAATTTCCTGGCCACACAGATCTATTTTTACCTTGGAGGCAAGATGGCATTCAAGATTTCTTCTGCCTGTTTTGTAGGATCTGGGACACAGGAAGTCGAGGGCAGCTTGGCCTTGGGTGGCTGTGGGATTGAACTTGAGGGTCCAGGCTGCTGGAGGCTGACTTTCAGAGGTCGAGCCTAAGAGACAGGCAAGACAGAATCTCCAAATTGTCCCAGCTTTCTCGACAAACTTCCCCATTTCCCTACTTCCCTCATCTGTGGTCTCAACATAAGTATGAGCTGAAGAGACCAAGATGGCTGGCTGGCTCTGACCCTGTGTTTGAACTGGTGTTTCTAGAGCTAGTGAGTGGTCAGGCCTCTGTTCTGCCTCTCTAGGGATGGGGAAGTCACTACCTGGCATATACTTGGACCTAACTACGACAAGCCCCGTCCATTTCCCTGTGACTTCTTTCTCATCTTAGATCTGTCCTTTGGGGTCACAGTTAGGTTTGTTTTACTACTCTCTCAACCACTATTGTCCCTGTTCCAATTGCCCTGGCTGTACCAGCAACCCCTGGCTCCTGAAATTCAAGAGATTCTCAAAGCTGGGGTGTCTTTTCCCATGGTAATTTGTAGGATCTGGCATCCCGAGGCCCGTTCATACCTTAGGGCTCCGCTTTTCTGTGTTCCGGCTCACCAACACCGGGGTGTCATATTTGAGCAGAGAGTCTGCGGGAGGTATCATGGTGGCCCCAGTAGTGGCAACTCTGTAGCGGCCCCTCCAGGTGGGGCCTTGTTTGCGGTCACCATGGAAACCCCTACTCGCCTTGCCCCCTGGATGGGGCGGGGCTTCGCAGGGAGGCGGAGCCGGCCACGTGCAAGTTTTATTCTACTGGACTTGCTCCACAAGCTCCAGGCTTCTTGGTAAACAAGACTGGAGACATTGCCCTAGGTCTAATACGGGATGCGATGAAATGGACAGACCATCTTTGCGGAGCCTTAAAAAGGAAGTCATCTCCTGACTCCTTAGATTTTTTAGCAACGATTGGCACTTGGAAGGCAGAGGCTGGTGGATCTGTGTGGGTTCCAGGACAGCCAAAGTTACATAGAGACACTCAAGAAACAAAAAAAGAATTTCCTAGGCCGGGCGTTGGTGGCGCACGCCTTTAATCCCAGCACTCGGGAGGCAGAGGCAGGCGGATTTCTGTGAGTTCGAGGCCAGCCTGGTCTACAAAGTGAATTCCAGGACAGCCTCCAAAGCCACAGAGAAACCCTGTCTCGAAAAAAAAAAAAAGAATTTCCTATTGTTGAGTATTTGTGTTTTGTAACTATCAACAATCCGCCACGAACAGGGTTGGATTAGCTTTCCCACATAAGATGTTTTCTTTCTTGTTTTGTTTTTTGTCTTTTTGGAGACAGGGTTTCTCTGTGGTTTTAGAGCCTGTCCTGGAACTAACTCTTGTAGACCAGGCTGGTCTCAAACTCACAGAGATCCACCTGCCTTTGCCTCCCGAGTGCTGGGGTTAAAGGCGTGTGCCACCACGATTTTTTCTTTTTTTAAATGCCAGGTGAACACCTTTAATTCCAGATCTTGGGAGGCAGAGGCAGGCGGATCTCGAGTTTGAGACCAGTCTGGTCTACAGAGTAAATTCTAGGACAGCCAACGTTACATATAGAAACCCTGTCTCGAAAAACAAACAATTTTTTTTTCTTTTGGTCATTTTTGAGGTCCTAGGGATTGCCCTCAGCTCTTTGCACACGGGAGGCAAACGCTCACTTTACTGCTAAGATACATTCCCCAGGCTTTCCGCCCTTTAACTCTAATTTCTATTTGGCGGTATTGCGGATGGAATCCAGGACTTTCGGTTCGGCTCGGCAATCTCTACCTGACCGACTCACTAATTGCCCAGGCTGGCCTGGAATTGACAGCGATCCCTCAGCCTAGGCCTCCCGAAGTCTGGCCTTGACTTTCCAATCCTTCAGTCTCACTTCCCCAGGAGCCAGGCTCCCAGGGACACCAGGTGTCCCCAGCGTCGGAACCTTCTCATCTGCGGCCACGCCCACCAGGGGGACCTCGCCGTGAGGGCTTCTGGGATAGCGCGATTCCCGGAAGCGGACGTGCAAAGGTCGGCCCGTCACTTCCTTCGGCTCGAGTGGATAAACGGACCGTGCAAGTGGCTCTCAGCCAGACCGCAGGATGAAGGCCGGGAAGAGCGAGCGGGAGCGAAGCGGCCGGCGGCGACACCGGGCCGACGATGCGTTGGCGACCGTGGTGGTGAAGCAGGAGCGTCTGAGCCCCGAACCTATCGCGCACCGGCGGCCCGACGCCCCAGCCGCTAGCCCGTCCCCGCCCGCCGCTGAGCCTGGCCGCGCTAACCACCGTGGGAGTCGAGCCCGGGGAGAGAGCCGGTGAGAGGGCCGCGGCCGGGATGGCTCGGGGCCCCGGCGGTGCGAGCGACTCGGGGTGTAGAGCACCTGTTGAGTTGGAATGAGATTCCCCCGCCTCCCACGGGGCACGGTGGGAATGTCTTTCACGTTGGGTCTTGGCGACTTCCTCGCAGCACTCATTCGTACAGCATCGATTTACTGAGTGCCTAGTGTGGACTAACGACCCACACTAGAGGTAGTGATCACAGGGTGAAGAAGGGAGGCGGTTTGACGCTGGCGAAATTGGGTGTGCTCTAACCCTAAGAAGGAGAATAACCAGTAGATTCAATTAGTGCTAAGGATGGAGTCAAACAGTAATGTGGCCGGGCGGTGGTGGCGCATGCCTTTAATCCCAGCACTCGCGCTCGGTCATGACAGAGAGAAATAATTACGAAGAACCTGAGGTGGAATTGTGTTTTAAAAGTTGAAGCAAAACAGGCAGTGTATCTGGAATTGAGTGATGGAGGGGGAGCATTGTAGGCTGGTAGGGATGACTTGGGATGGAGGACAGGGTGGGTCCCTAGGACTTGCCAAGGGATTGGATGTGGTTGTTGGAGAAGGGAGTGTGTTAGGAATCAACAACAGAAACGCAGGCAAGATTGACTTCCTGGATAGTGGCCCCATTAGTGGGATGACAAACTGGGAAAGAGCGTTGGGGTTCGAGAACTAGGGTATCTAAGTGAGCGGGCAGTTGTGTGTGTGAGTCAGGGACTGTGACTGGGAAAGTGAGGGCCTGACTCCATTAGAGATTTCACACGTGTGCTGTGTTTAGTGGGCGAGCCTGATACGTAAAGCTAATTTATTTGGGGGAAGGGACATTGAGGTAAAATCCTGTGTACTGTGCTCTGATCAGGTCCCCAGCCAAAAAGAAAATCAAGTCCTCGGGGAGAAGAAGCAAGTCTCCTCGAACTAAGAGAAGCCGGAGTCCCCACTACTCCACCGTCAAAGTGAAGCAGGTGAGTGAGTTTGCAGGAGCTTTTGCTGGGACCGATGTGCAAATCCAGAGCTGTTGCTGGACCTAAAGGGAGCCTGCACCCATGTGTTTCCATCTTTGCTTGTCCTGGCAGTGGGCTTTTCTAAAAACTGGATGTGTTTGTGGTTGTTTTATGTGAAAATTCAAATGTGGAGGAAGTTATTGATTGGATCCTGATAACTCTGTCAGAAATATTGCAGAGAGATACCTTTCCTTGTTTCTCCCAGTGGTAACTTGTCACACAGCCGTGGGCACAGTCAGGATACAGACATCTCACTGCCATTGGGCCCCATTCCTTCCCACCTTTATCCTTCCTTACCTCCTGGCCACTGCTCTGTTTCTCATTTCTTGGATGCACATTGTTTATAGTACAGTGTAAACCAGCACAGATGGGTAAGGTTTGACCTGTGAGTGCCCATGTGCTCCAGTACCATTTTTTTCAAAGGACATTGTTATTTTATTCCACATTGAAAGTCAGTCAGCATATGTCTATCATTCCGACAATCCATGCTGTTTCAAGTCTTGAAACCGAGTACCCGGATCCCTTTTACTTTAGTCTTTTAAAAATTGTCTTAGCTGTTCTGGTTCCTTTGTCTGCATCTCTGTAAATGTTAGAGCAGTCTTGAATGTGTGTGTGTGAGATAAAAATATTTTTTGCATGTGTATGAGTGTTTGCCTGCCTGTATGTATATGTGTGTGCACTGTGCATATGTCTGGTACCCACAGAGCCCAGAAGAGGGCGGCAGATTCCCGGGAACTTGAGTTAAAGCTGGCTGTAAGATACCACATGGGTGCTGGAAACTGACCCAGGTTTTCTGGAGAACAAAAAGTGCTTGTAATTACTGACTTATCTTCCAGATTCTCTAGTAATGTCTTGCTCTAGGCAAGTGTGGTGGTGTGTACATGTAACCCTACACTGAGGCAGGAGGATCACATCTTCAAGGCTGGTTTGTAAGTTTAGTGAGAGATGCTGTCTCAGAGTAAAAAGGGCTGGAGCTACAGTTTAGAAGTAGAGCACTTGCTAGTCTGTTTCCTGAATTTAATATGTATCTATATTAAATGGACTCTTATTACTCAGCCTTAAAATGAAGAAAATTCTGACATGCTACAAGATGTCTGAACCATGATGACTTCCTTACTAAACCAGAGGAAAAAGACAAAAATTGCATGATTCCATATCTTTGTAGTTGAGACAGTTGATTTCCTGCTAATTAGGCCCAAACTGGCCTGAGACTTGCTTAAACAAGGCCTAGAATTCTTTTTTTTTGTTTGTTTTTTTGTTTTGTTTTGTTTTGTTTTTCGAGACAGGGTTTCTCTATTGTTTTGGAGGCTGTCCTGAAACTCGCTGTGTAGACCAGGCTGGCCTTGAACTCAATAGAGATCCACCTGCCTCAGCCTCACAAGTGCTGGGATTAAAGGCGAGAGCCACCAGCATCTGGCTAGGTCCAGAACACTTGATTCTGATCCCCACCCCTGGCCGTGTGGAGATAGGTTCTCATTGTCACTATATCACTTGTTGACCTGGAACTCTGCCTCTTGAGTGCAGCCTCAGTCCCTTCTCTCTCTCTCTCTCTTTTTTTTTTTTTTTTTTTTGGTTTTTCGAGACAGGGTTTCTCTATATTGTTTTGGAGGCTCTCCTGGAACTCGCTTTGTAGACCAGGATGCCTTGAACTCACAGAGATCCGCCTGCCTCTGCCTCCCAAGTGCTGGGATTAAAGGCGTGCGCCACCTGCCGGGCGTTGGTGGTGCACGCCTTTAATCCCAGCACTTGGGAGGCAGAGGCAGGCGGATCTCTGTGAGTTCGAGACCAGCCTGGACTACCAAGTGAGTTCTAGGACAGCCTCCCAAGCCACAGAGAAACCCTGCCTCGAAAAAAAAAAAAACAAAAACAAAAAACCAAAAAAAATGCGTGCGCCACCAACGGCCCGGCCCCTTCTCTTTTGATAGTAGCTGTTCCTGACCTTTTTAGTTTTGCTAGTCTGAGAAAATTTCTATTTTGATGCTCTGGTTCCTAGTGAGACAGGTGGTCACTAAGTGTTAACTTCTGGAAACTGCTGTTGAGGCTTTGCCTGTGGGCTGGCTGCTTACTGATTGATTTCTCATTGGTCTGGTTTTTGTCCTTGTTTTTTCAAGATAGCATTTCTTTGTGTGAGAGCCTTGCTGTGTAACAGCATGCTGGAACTCTGTAGATTAGGCTGGCGTCAAAGTCACAGAGGCCCTCCTGCCTCTGCCCCCTGAATACTGGGTTCAAAAGCGTGTGCCACTTCCATCAGGCTCTCATTGATCTGCTGGTGTGTTGTGGGAATTGTAGTTTCTGCCTGGCTGGTTTTTAGTATGTGTGTCCATTTTGTCAGAAGCTTAGAGACTGTTGAGTAATACTTTCTTGTGGGTTTCTTGAGGTTTTCATGTTTCTTAGGTTTATTCCTAGATGTTTGAATAATAATCTTTGTAATAGTTTAAGTTTGAGCTTTTGAAATTATTTCAGTTTCTTTTTGGTTTATGAGGAAATTGACTTTTTCCTTTACATATCTTAATTTTAACAGTTCTGTTTTTTTTTTTTTTTTCTCTCTCTCTCTCTCTGATGGGAATATTACTTGGCAGGGCAGGTTTTGGGTAGCCCTGGCTGGCTGTCCTGGAACTCACTCTGTAGACTAGGTAGACCTCAAACCCAGAGATCCTGTCTTTGCCTCCCAGGTGCTGGGATTAAAGAAGTTTACCACCATCTCCTAGCTACTCTGTTCTGTTTTCTATACATGCTGTCCCGTGAGTTTGTTGGCAGATGACTGATGGGAATATTATTTCTCCTTCTCCCCTCAGTATCAGCCTCTTGTTTTGAGGGCTCTGGATGTGGGCTTGGATTATCAGGTCTGTATTTGAGGAGCAACATGGACTATAGTCATAATGATCCTCCAGGGGAACAGAACTACCACAGATGGCACACCAGGGGAATAGAACAGATAGTCTTGTGTGGATAGGAATTTTTTCTGAATACTAGCACTCAGGTCATAGATGTGTTATTCATTTTTGGGGATTCAATTATTTTATGTGTGTAGATGTTTTGCCTGTGTGGATGTCTGCACCATATAGATGCAGTGCCCATGCTTACCACAAGAGGGCATTGGATCCCCTTGGAACGTTAGTTACAGATGATTGTGAACAGTTATGTGGGTGCTGGGAACTGAACCTGGGTCCTCTGGAACAGTGCTCTTAACTTCCAAGCCATCTCCCCAGTCCTGACAGCTTATTCACAGAGTAGAAGCCATCTTTCCTTTACTGAATGCATCTTAATTTTAGGAACGTGAGGAGCATCCACGGAGAGGGCGAGAGGATCGGCAGCACCGTGAGCCATCAGAACAGGAGCAAAGGAGAGCTCGTAACAGTGAGCGAGACCGGCACCGGGGCCATTCCCGCCAGAAGAGGAGCTCTGATGAGAGGCCTGGCAGTGGGCAGGGTCTGGACAGAGACAGCCAGATTCTGCAAGCCCAGGAAGAAGAAAGGGACTTTCATAATGCCAGGCGCCGGGAGCATCGCCAGCAGAATGAAGGTGCTGGTGGTGATGCTCAGGAGGTGATCCCTCGCCCAGCTGGTAGCAGAGGCAAAGAAGTGCCTGTTAAAGAAAAACCAAGCTTTGAACTCTCTGGGGCACTGCTTGAGGACACCAATACCTTCCGGGGTGTGGTTATTAAGTACAGCGAGCCCCCAGAAGCCCGGATCCCCAAAAAACGGTGGCGCCTGTACCCCTTTAAAAATGATGAGGTACTTCCAGTCATGTACATCCATCGGCAGAGTGCTTACCTTCTCGGCCGACATCGCCGCATCGCTGACATTCCCATCGACCATCCCTCCTGCTCAAAGCAGCACGCAGTCTTCCAGTACCGGTAGGTAGACCTCAAGGAGGACGGGAAAGGGAGCTGGGGTGAGTGTCTCACTGAGGATTGCTATGCTGTCTGTGGAGATGCAGAAGAGGCCATCACTCCTTGTATCTAATAAGCTGGGCTGAAAGAGTCTAGCAGCCCTTGAGTAATCTCTTAACATTTGCATGAGAGTCTTGAACTTGATATCAGAAACTCAGATTAGCCTCTACCATTGCGGTGGTGCAGGCCTATAATCCTAGGTGTCCGGAGGCCAAGCAGGAAGATTGGTGTACTCTCTAGGTGTGGTCTGTGTACCAAAACCCCATCTCAAAATAAAGACAAAAAAATAATAATAAAATAGAAAGTCCTGCCCCACTCTGGGCCTGTTTCCACCTGCCCAAGGTAATGAGGACCAAATGGAAGTAAGTAGAAGCCAGAGTCAGAATGCCAGGTCTATCCTGGCTAAATCTGTTGCTTGGATCCTACACCCTTACCATCTGTTCTCCAATGTCCTGTGGAAAATAGGACCAGTGTAACACCCTCAGCTGGGAAAACTGCAGCTCAACACAGTCGCTGATGGCAGTAATGATCTTCAGAGCAGAGCTCTGTCTCTTATCTGGCCCTTGACACTCAAAGACCTCATCTCATTCTAATGGTGTTTACCCCTTTGGACTGGTGCTAAAATAGCTGTACAGCATTGGAGGAAGTATATTTGTAGCCATAGCAAGAGGCCTTGAGTTCTACATTGGGAGCTTCCATGGCCCTCCATCCCACCCGCCACCCACAGCCAGCTCTACCTTTTCTCTTAGGTATATTTAAATTGCTCCCAATTTCCCTATCCAGGACGATGCTTCCCCTGTGACCTAGAATTTTTGTTTGAGCCATGTTCAAGCCAGGTCAGTGACATCTAGACCTGTAGCAGAGAGCTTCAGAGTAGATGGTCTCTGGTAGGGCTTGGCTCACAGGCTTTTCTCCCCGGTCTCTTCTAGGCTCGTGGAGTACACTCGTGCTGACGGCACAGTTGGTCGGAGGGTGAAACCCTACATCATTGACCTGGGCTCAGGCAACGGAACCTTCCTGAACAACAAGCGTATTGAGCCACAGAGATACTATGAACTGAAAGAAAAAGACGTCCTTAAATTTGGGTTCAGTAGCAGAGAATACGTCTTGCTCCATGAGTCTTCAGACACGTCTGAACTAGACAGGAAGGAAGATGAAGATGACGAGGAGGAGGAAATGGTGTCTGACAGCTAGCAGCTGAGAAGCACTCCTCTCCTCCCCATTAGAAACTGTTCCTCCTGGAGGCCATGGGGTTGACTCTCCAGCGCCTCTTCTTGCCTTAAGTCTTTGCTCTGTTGCTGCCCAGCTTGTGTTGCAGTATGAGAACTCACTTCGTGTTTTTGTTGAACCTGGCACATCAGCCGCCTGCCTGTGGGCGCTTGTTTCACAACAGTCTCACCAATTACAGCATGTCGAGTTTTGAGCAAAGTGTGTGGCTGTAGTGGGTGCCTTCAGAACTGCTGCACAGGAAACTGAAGCCCTTGGGAAGGGGATTATGGCTTGTTCTCTTTGTACAGTTTCTTATTTATATAGTTGTTGAGCTTTGTGAACCAGGAATTTCGTTTTGGTGACAAACCCTAGAGCAGAGACTCTCAGTAAACTTTGGTTGTCACCAAAACAACCTCCAGCATATACCACAGCTTTGACCTGCGTCAGCTCTTGAGTCACAGAAGTTGATTTTGCACTTCGTCTTTTGGGGGTGACAATTTACCACATGACCTCATTATTGACTGCCTAAACAGACACTCACGCCGACTGTGTCCGGAGGTCATGGCTCCTACCAATAGGTGCTGGTGACATACCATGCACTGGGTTGTGGAGCTGCGTCTTCTGATTTCCCCATGAGGCACAGACCTAACAGTTGGGATCACCTGGTCTTTTCTTCAGCTTGGCATTTTTATTCAGATGTTACCTCTCTCTTCTCCCTTTGAGAAACACACTCATGTTGACTTTGTAGCAGGGGCCCTGCTGTGGCCTAAGGTTGTGTGTATGTGTCTAAAGGAGGTTGTGTGGCTTCCACATTATTGTTTCAGCTTTGACCATGGGTTTGTATTTACTTCCCAAAGATGGAAAGCAAGAGGCAGCCCAGCTTTTGAACTTCCCACCTGGGGTCTGTGTAAGTAGAAAGGAATTCATTACTTACACTGTGTGTGCTTGTAAAATGGTGTGTTTCGGGAGTATGTGCTGATTTTCATATGACAGTGTTTTGTGATAGAAATAATAACACATGGTAGGCAAAGGCCTGTCTGCATTTGGAGAACAGGTTTTCATTTATATGTATTTTTGAGATAAAAAAATAAAATTTGTAAATACAGCCCCATTTTGGAGGGTAATGCTTTGCTGATAAGGACTCTTGTTCGTAAGTGTGTTTGCTCCTAAGGGAGTCTTTGTATATGTGTGTGTGGAGGTCCGGGGAGCAACCCGTGATTACTGGATTTTATTTATAGCTATTAGAGATATAATCCTAGTCTGGTAGGAGTTACTCCCTTGAATCCCAGGGTGTATACAACGCTGTGTGTCCCAGGCTAAGGCCCCCACATCCATCTGAGGGTCCTGGAAACATGCCCACCAGCAGTCCTGAAAAAGTTTCATATTTTGTCCTGAACCCATTAAACAGCCTCCCCTGTGTGTGAGGATAAATGAAAATGGCTGGGGATTAGTTTAGTAGATTACACAGAGTTTTCCGCCTAGACCATCGGCCAGCTCTGTCCCCACCAGCCACTCCCCAAATAACCACTTGGAGACTTATTGGTAATTATAAATGTTTGGCTGATAGCTTAGGCTTTTTTTTTTTTTTTTTTTTTTTTTTTCTCTCGAGACAAGGTTTCTCTGTGGCTTTGGAGGCTGTCCTGGAACTAGCTCTTGTAGACCAGACTGGTCTCAAACTCAGATCTGCCTGCCTCTGCCTCCCCAGTGCTGGGATTAAAGGCGTGCCCAGGCTAAAAAACATTTAGTTTTCAATCTTGATTGTTTGTGGGTATTTAGCCTGCAAGAATGTCTGTGCACCACATGCATGAAGTCCCTGCAGAGGTCAGAAGAAGGTGTCAGATTCTCTGGGCATGCAGTTACCATGTGGGTGCTGGGAATTGAACCTGGGTCCTCTGGAAGAACAGCTAATGTCCTTAACCTCTGAGCCATCTCTTTAGCTGGGCTTATTTTTTTTAGCTAGCTCTTATAACTTAACCCATTTCTATTCTATGTGCTGACCTAAGGCTCACGTACATACTTACCATCCGGCTTGCCCTGCACCTCATGGTGTCTCCTCCGACTCTACCCTTCTCCCCAGCATTCTCTCTGCCCCCAAAATCCTGCCTAGCCATCAGCCAATCAGCTTTGTATTAACAATGAGAGCAACACATCTTCACAGTGTGCAGAAGGATTATTCCACAGCACTATAGTGTACAAAGTGACAACGGTTGAGTTCGCTCACTGAAAAGCTGGAGTGACTCTTAGTTGTATGGGCACAGGGTGCTAAAGTTGGCTTGCTACTGTGGATCGGACACAGCAACGCTGAAGCAGGATGCCCCTGGAAGGGCTGACATTTGACGATTGTCTTAAAGCAGGGGGGGACTTTGACTTAGTTGGGACAGTCGAGGAAGCAGTGGGAGTAGAGAGGGGTGCGTGGAAAGCCTTTGTAAGTCATGCTCTGAAGTTCCGTAGTGGTGAGTGGCACCGAGGTCACAGAGTCCCCTGCAGAGAGGGCCTGTGGAGGAGACAGAAGAACTGCAGTCTGCTCATGGAAACCACATTGGGTGGGACAGAGAGAGGCTCAGGCAAATCCTTGTCTGAGTAATAATAATGGTACAGTGTCTGCTTTGCCATCATGAAAACCTGAATGGGGTTCTCCAGCACCCGTGGAAAACAAAGCATAGAAGTGTTTGTAAGTGCTGGGAATGTGGAGACGGTGGGTTCTGGTTGGTCACTGGCCAGTCAGTTGAGCTTCAGGTTCTTTTTTTTTTTCTTTTTTTGGGGGGGGTGTTGAGACAGGGTTTCTCTGTGACTTCGGAGGCTGTCCTGGAACTAGCGCTTGTAGACCAGGCTGGCCACGAACTCACAGAGACCCGCCTGCCTCTGCCTCCCAAGTGCTGGGATTAAAGGCATGTACCACCAACACCTGGCTTTTTTGCTAATTTTAAATGTATTTTTTTTTGGCTTTTTTTTTTTTTTTTTTTTTTTTTTTGGTTTTTTGGGGACAGGGTTTCTCTGTGGCTTTGGAGGCTGTCCTGGAACTCGCTTGGTAGTCCAGGCTGGTCTTGAACTCACAGAGATCCGCCTGCCTCTGCCTCCCGAGTGCTGGGATTAAAGGTTTAAATGTATTTTTAAACATTTATTTTGTGTGCATTTGGTGTTTTGCCTGCATGTATGTATGTGAAGATGTCAGATCCCCTGGAACTGGAATTACAGACAGTTGTGAGGGGGCATGCGGGTGCTGGGAATTGAACCTGGGTCCTCTGGAAGAGCAGCCAGTGCTCTTAACCACTGAACCATCATCTGTTTAGCCCCTTAAATGTATTTGTTTTATCACTTATTTGTGTGAGTGCTTGGAGGTCAGGGGATAGCTTGCAGGCATCAATTCATTCCTTCTATCATCTGGGTTCTGGGGCTTGAACTCGCGTCATCAGGCGTCACATCAAGTGCTTTACCTGCTAAGTCCCCCACCTACTTTGCTACTTTGTTGATTTCTGTATCTAAGTTCTGAAGTGATGTGACTTATGGAGCTTTTGTCATTTTAAAGGTTTAGTAATTTTCATGTGTATGGTGGCTTTTACATATGTGTGCACATGCTTTCTGTGCCCTTGTAGGTCAGAAGAGGGCCCTGAATCCTCTGGAACTGGAGTTAACAGGGGTTTCGATTTTCTACAAAGTTTGATTCCAAGCACCAGGGAAGAAAAAAAAAAAAGACCTATAAATTGCGGGCTCGGCGTTGGTGGCGCATGCCTTTAATCCCAGCACTTGGGAGGCAGAGGCAGGTGGATCTCTGTGAGTTCGAGGCCAGGCTGGTCTACAAGAGCTAGTTCCAGGACAGCCTCCAAAAAGCCACGGAGAAACCCTGTCTCGAAAAACCAAAAAAAAAAAAAAAAAATTGGGGCTTGGAGAGACGGCTCAGCAGTTGAAGAGCACTGGCTGATCTTCTAGATGACCTGGGTTCAATTCCCAGTACCCACATGGTGGTTCAGAATTTTCTGTAACTCCAGTTCCAGGGGATCTGACTCCCTCTTCTTGGGATACACAGATGCAGACACATATGTAGGCAACACATACACACAAAATTAATTAAGAAGAATGTGGTATACTCAAGAGGCAGAGGCAGGCGGATCTCTGTGAGTTCGAGGCCAGCCTGGTCTACAAGAGCTAGTTCCAGGACAGCCTCAGAAGCCACAGAGAAACCCTACCTCAAACAAAACAAAACAAAATTAGCAAATGAAATCCAGTAAAATAAGAGAGAATATATAGGAAGGTGACCATTGAATTATTACTAACATTCATGACTGCTACAACATTTGAAAATCAAACCCATGTAAATCCATTACGTTAAGAAGTTACAGAGGAGGCAAAGGCAGGCAGATCTCTGTGAGTTCAAGGCTAGCCAAGTCTACAGAGCTAGTTCCAGAACTGCCAGGGCAACACAAAGAAACCATCTCAAAACAAAAAGAGGTGCTGGAGAGAGAGCTCAGCAGCTAAGAGCATTTGCTATGCTTTCAGGGGACATGGTTTCTATTTCTAACACCCACATGTTGGCTCACAACTGTAACTCCAGTTCCAGGGGATCCAGTGCCCTCTGGCTTCCATAGGTACCAGGTACCCGTACATGGTGTGCAGATAATCATGAAAGTCTGAAAAAAGAGGTGTATTTTTTTTTTAAGTTCAAGATAATGAGCTACAAATTGGCCATCTGTACCACTACCACCCAAAGGCTCAGGGACCACTTCAGACTGGAAGAGCCAGAGGTCAGGGAGGACTGACATGCCTTTGCGACATGAAAGGATTGCTGTATTTGTGAGCCCTGCAGCTGTGGCTGCCTACAAGAGCTGCCTCACAAGTCCCCATCCCTAGCTTTGACAGTGGATGACTTCTGTGGGGGAAGAGTCAGTCTTATTTAAGGTGTGGCCCCTAGTAGGTTGATCACATTCCATTGGATGACTCCATAACCATAAGTATATGAGCACTTCAAACTGGGACTCACAGTCATTGGGGGGGGTTTGCTGAGGAGATGATGGCTCAGCCCTGTTTGCTCTTCTAGAGGACCCTGATTTAATCCCCAGCGCCTACGTGAAAGCTCACGCCTGTTACTCCGGTCCCAGGGGATCTGATTTCCTCCTCTAGCCTCTTTGGGAATTAAATGATTGTGCAGACATAACATATAGGTTAAACACCCATATACATAAAAAGCTGGGTGCTGGTGGCATACACCTTTAACCCCAGCACTCAGAAGGCAGAGACAGGCAGATCCCTGTGAGTTCAAGACCAGCATGGTCTACAGAGCAAGTTCCCAGGACAGGCTCCAAAATGGCACAGAGAAACCCTGTCTTGAAAAAAAACCCAACCAAATAAATTAATAAAAAAAAAAATTTCAAGGTCTGGTGGTTTTGAGGCAAGGCTAGCTTCAAACGATTTTTTTTTTTGACAAGGTTTCACCATCTAACCCTGGCTGTTCTGGTCCTCACTATATAGATCAGGCTGGCTTTGAACTCACAGATATCCACCAGCCTCTGTCTCCTGAGTGCTGGGATTAAAGGTATGTGCCACCATGCCTGACTTTAAAAGTTCTTACGTGCAGCCGGGCGTTGGTGGCGCACGCCTTTAATCTCAGCACTCAGGAGGCAGAGGTGGGCGGATCTCTGTGAGTTCGAGGCCAGCCTGGTCTACAAAGTGAGTTCCAGGACAGCCTCCAAAGCCACAGAGAAACCCTGTCTCAAAAATCCCAAAAAAAAAAAAAAAAAAAAAAGTTCTTACATGCTACATCCTGGCAGGAAAAGAGAAGGGGGGGTGCTGGGCTCAAAATCAGATTCATGCATGCTTAGGCACACGGTCTACCAAATGAGTTCTATCTCTAGCCCTTGACTTTTTTTTTTTGAGACCCAGTCTTCTGTGGCCCAGGCTGGCCTAAATACTATGCAGCATCTTCTTGAGCTTTCTGTCTCTCAGGTGATAGGATTATAGTCATGTACCTTTAGAGAGGAACATGAGATAAGTGAGGAGATTTATTTATTTATTTATTTATTTATTTTGGTTTTTCGAGACAGGGTTTCTCTGTGGCTTTGGAGGCTGTCCTGGAACTCGCTCTGTAGACCAGGCTGGCCTCGAACTCACAGA